GGGAGACTCAGCGCCAAGGGTTTGGGGTTTTTGTTTTGTTTGTTTGTTTGTTTGTTAATCCTCACCCCAGGATATTTTTTCCATTGATTTTTAGAGAAAGTGGAAGGGAGGAGGAGAGACAGAGAGAGAAACATTGGTGTGAGAGAAACACATTGATTGGTTGCCTCCCACACACGCCCTGACCTGGGCTGAGGATCAAGCCTGCAACCGAGGTATTGAACCCGGGACCCTTCAGTCCACGGGCCGACACTCTATCCACGGAGCCAAACTGGCTAGGGCAGTGCCAAGGGTTTTTGTTGGGGGCTGGTCACATAGGTACCCTCTGCCTGTACCCACATTCCAGATCTCCGGAAGGAAAGCAAGTGGTCAGCATGAACCGCATGGTTTGCACAGGTAGACTGGGCACAGCGAGCCCTTGTCAGGTCGGGAACGGTGGGACCACTCCGAATGCAAGCTCCCAGGTGCCGGCCGGCCAGGCAGGCCTCCCTGTGGGTGCAGGCCCAGGCCTGCTCTGTTATGCTGAGACCATCTCTCTTGTGTTTGGACCACTTCAAGATAGGGTGGGACAGATGTCCTGGTTTCCATAGGACAGAACCGAGGCCTGGAAAAGGAAAGGCATTTAGGGACTGGCCTTCTCCTCCGTGAATGGATCCCGAGAGGAAGCAAGTGCTGGGTACTGGGCGGCTGTCCCTCACTGCCCCTTCCTGCTAACGCTGTATCCCTCTCTCTGCTCTCTCTCTAGGCACTCAAGGGCTCCAAGAAGCTGGTGATGTCGGTGTACTCGGCGGGGCGCATCCCCGGGGGCTACATCACCAACCACATCTACACCTGGGTGGACCCGCAGGGCCGCAGCATCTCCCCGCCCGCCAGCCTGCCCCGGCCCCACAGCGGTGCCCTGAGACCGCGAGAGGGTGACCGGAGGAGCACCCTGCACCTGCTGCAAGGCGGGGATGAGAAAAAGGTGAGCTGCCCCGCCTGGCCCGGGCAGGCCGACCTGAGGCGGGGGCTGTGAGGGAGGCTGGCCCCTGAGGCCGTTCTGATGGCTAAGCCCAGAACAGGGAAGCTTTTTAGAGGCTGGAAGGAGGGCTTGGTCCTGTCGGGGTTCTGTTCTTTCTTTTTGGCCTGTGCAGGCTGTTACAATGCAGACCAAGGTGCTGCAGCAAAGAGCCTGTGACTTAAATAAGGTCAGGTATCTCTCCTTGTCACAGCGAAACGGAGGGGGTAGTGTAGGCTGGCGGGCAGCTCTGTCCCACATCTTATTCTGGGGCCCGGTTCCCTCCACTACCGTCCTGTCTAGGACGAAGCTCAGAGCTTCCCTTTAAACTAGAAATGACTGGACTGCTCAGCAGCTCTGACCCAGGCGCTCAGCCACGCTTGCTGCCAGGACTGCGTGCTCCAGAGGGAAGCGGTGGCGGGGCCAGTCTGGGTTGTAAGGAACAGAAACCGGTCCTGGTCACCTCCACAGAGTAAGAGCTCCCTGGCAGGGCGTGGCAGGCCCAGAACTGAAGCCGAGGAACTGGGGTGCGGCCTCCAGAAGAAAGGGATCTCCTTCCTTGCAGGTCTCTGCCTCCTTCCCCTCAACTGTTATACTCCAGGGAGGTGCACCGATTGGCTGGTGGGGAGGGCTGGGCAGTTTGATTGACAGAACCACCAAGATGGTCGCTGGTGTGGGAGGGGCTGTTGTCC